GGGCTCAATCCCCAGTGTGGGGCGTGCAGGAAGCAGCCCATCAATGATCCTCTCACATCATTGATGTTTCTGTCTCCCTCTTCCTGTCTCTGAAATAAAGTTAAAAAAAAAAAAGACTCTAAGCACATGGAGCACTAAAGCACTCCTGCTGAAACAGTCTGTACTGTCCACACACACACACACACACACACACACACACACACACACGCACGCGCACGCACACGCACACACATGCACCCATGATGAAGGATAAAAATAAAACGAATTAACTCCCCTCTTTCCTAGTCTATGAATCTGGTTCCTGGATCTGCCATTTCTTTATCAATGAAGATTTTCAGAGAATGCCCGGGTCCTCTTCCCTAACACGAGGGTGACCCCCTTTCTCCCCAGGTCAGCACCCACTTTGGGGGGGAAGCACCACAGAGCACGGACTCACGGTTCTCTCGCCAGTCATCTTGGCAAGCGCGTCCTGAAACTGGCTTCCATATTCGAGCAGGTCCAGTTCCACCGCTGTGTAGTTTATGTTCATGTCGTGGAAAAGCTTCTTTGCCATGTTACAGTAGGAACAGGATGTCTTTGAGTAAATCACCACACAGTTATCGGAAATGGTTTCCTGGAGTCAAGCAAACAAATCATCTTAATGCCAGACGTTATCTTTTGGAAGGAAAGAAATGATACTGCGGAAGGATATGAATGTTGGCGTCTCAGGATTGACTCAGGGCTGGAACTAAGTCTCCATCGCCTCCCTTCTCATCGGTGCTTGAGGGTAATAGCATTCATTTCCAAGGAACACTATTAGGAACAAAGGGTGCAACAGATGGGAACTGTTGGCATGGAGTCCTAACAGCGGCAGCCAATTCATAGACAGCAAACACCTGTGTGCGGGACACAACGCTCAACACGTGACCTTGACCAGCTCCGTGAAGCCTCCCCTCAGTCCTGAGAGGTCCTGCCGTCCTCTGCACTCCACACCGAGGAGAGTGAGGCCGGGGAAGGGAAATAACTTACTCCTGGTCCTCAGCTACTCAGTGGCAGAGCCGGGATTTGATCCAAGGGAGTCCAGTTCCACCGCACTTCACCCTGTTGTTCTACTTCTCAGACATTCAGTGCATGTTCAGGAGGTAACGCCCCACCTGCCTCAACTGTCAGTGGTGAGGACTGATGCATATTTCTCTTAAACGGAAGGCTTTGGCCCGGCCAGTGTCGCTCAGTGGTTGAGCATCGACCTATGGACCAGGAGGTCACGGTTCGATTCCTAGTTAGGGCACATGAGTGATTGTGGGCTCGATTCCCAGTGTGGGGTGTGCAGCAGGCAGTCGATCAATGATTCTCATCATTGATATTTCTATCTCTACTCCCCCTCTCTGAACTCAATTAAAAAATTAAAAAAAAACCCCCACAAAGAAATGTGGATGAAGAGATTCCAGGGTGAGAAGAAAGAGAGGACAGGGCCAAACATTCTGGAACTCTCCTCCCCTTTCCTCAAGCCTGTGCTTGCTGAACAGCTGTGACTGTCCTTATTTTAGGAGGCAGCTCCCTCACAGTAGGTTCTGCCATTGCGTTCCTACAGCTGTGCGTGAATACTGTTTCAGCCAAAGGCATGCAGGCAGAACCGTGATGGATGTGGTCCTGGTCAGTGGTGGACAGGGAAGGAGAAACAGGACTGTCTCGCAGCTGCCAGCGAGGGAGAACCTGCAGACCAGAGGGGTGTCCTAAGGGCACTCCCTGGACCTGGCTGTGCACAGCACCCCGGCCCTGCCCCACACCACTCACCTGGATCTGATTCACGGGAGCAGCTGCCGGCTTCCCCCAAGTCGACGACGTGCTGTTGCCCATCCTACGAGGAATTGTTAAAGGGACTGGTTCATCAGACAGTAAGGGCAATGCTGCAGGTGAGATTCACTCCGACAACAGCTCTCCAAGCGCCCTCGAGTCACGCCCCGGGCGTGGAGCGCCCAAAGGCGAAATGCCCCAGGGATCCCTGGAGCTGGGATAACACACCGTCAGGGGCCTCGGGGACCAGCACCTCCTAGCTCCGCCCAGAAAGCTCCAGGGCTCCCTGTCTTGCAAAGCCGGTAAAAGCCACCAGAGGAAGCGGGTGGGAAGGGATCCCGGGCGGATGGAGGAGGCACAGCGGCCGCACAGATGTGCCAGCGGGCGGGACGGCCAGGACCGCGGGGCGGGCCTCCACGCCAGCCGGTAGCCAGTGGTTATGGGAAGCGGCGCAGGGCAAGCACTGTCCCCGGTGCAGCCCCGATCTCCGAGCCGAGGCCACGGCGCAGGAAGCGCCCCTCCCTCCCTGCAGCGCCAGCAAACAGACAAGCAGGCGCACCAGCCTGTAACTCAGCCCGAGGGCGTCCGTGCAGCGTCTGAGACATACGTAGCGGGACAGCTATCCCCTGTCGGTCTGAAAATGTCTGAAATCCCAACGCAACCACTGGGGGAGGGAGTGTCCAAGCGGACGCGACTGCAGTGTTTTCCACCTGAGTTCCAGGACCCGCAGGCGCTCAGGGACCCACCTCTCCGCACCCTTTGGGGGCCCGGCTGGATGGGACTGGGGCCCAGGTGGCGCCCCAGGGAAGAGGCGCCAGGTCTCCCCTCCCTGAGCCCGCCCTGTCGGCCGCGCTCCGTACCTTGAGGCCGCCCCCCCGAGCCGCCCCGCCGAGCCGCTCCCGCTCCAGGCGAGTCGCGTCCTCGCAAGGACCGCGGGGCGCCAGATCATGGTCGGAGAGCGGGGCCGCAGCGAACGGAGGGGACACAGGAAAACGCGACCCGGGAGAGTCCGCCCCCGCCTGCTGGCCCCGCCTCCGCACGCCCGGCCACGCCCCCTCGCGCAAGACACCGCCCATGCACGCTCCGCGACGCCTCCGCTAGCTGGCCCCGCCCCCGCACGCTCAACCACTTTCCCCGCTCAAGACCACGCCCCCGCACGCACCGTCACGCCTCTGCCTGCAGGCTCCGCCCCCGCACGCTCGACCACTTTCCCCGCTCAAGGCCACGCCCCCACACGGTCCGCCACGCCTCTGCCTGCAGGCCCCGCCCCCGCACTCCGGGCCCCGCCCCCCCGGTATGACAGCCCCTCCGCAGGTGCGGTGGGCGCCCCAGCGAGGCTTCTCCCTCCCGGGTGGCCCGCGTGAGGCGGCCGGGAGCGCGGACACCGGGCGAGCCCTCCCACCTGTACGCAGCCGCCTGGTTGCCGGCCAGCTTCTCACCTGTCGGCCTCCATGTGTGGTCCCAGCCCGGATGATCCCAGCCCCGCACCTGGTCCTGTCAGGGTGGGCGCGGCTCTTGAAGGCTCACAGGCAGGTGGGCACAGCGCGTGGGGCTGTGGCCGGCATCCCGGTGAGCAGAGAGGGAGAAGAAGGACTGTCCCACACAGTGTCTGGGTGCCTGCCTAAGGGTGGCAGCGGCGCCACCGCTTCCTGTCGGACAGGTCTCCGAGTCGGTGACATCACAGCCTGCACGCGTCATCTAAAGATAAGGCCCTTCCCCGGGAACCCACCCATCACAGTCATGGGCATGCTGGGCTTTACATTCACAATGAAAAATTGTGGAACGTTCATTCCAAAGGCTTCAAAATAAAAGTCACGAGAAGATAAAACTTAAGAGAGCCCAGCAGCGTGTTGCCATGGCTTTAAAAGTAGGCCAGCGCTCTAATGACAAGCCTGTTGCACAGTCATGGTCATAATGGCCCTGGGTGCGGCTATGTAAGCGGACACGGTGGGCCTTTATTTTAATTGACTGTGGACATGGAAACCTGCTAAATTCAAAGGTCCAATGGCCTGCCTAAATCTCTGACCAATTATTAGAGCAATCCAGGCCTTTTTTGATCCTTCATGCTCCACTAGCTAAGTTTAAGATTCAAGTTACCAAGGTAAAAAAAAATTAGAACTTTTGACAGTTCTCTTTCTACTTTTGCAAGTGGGCTATGCATCATGACTTCATAAAAGGGTGGAAGTGAGCTGCAAAAACCATTATCCCCAAAGGCGTGACGTCATCTTCCTAAATCCACAATTACCTTTAAACATGAAGGCATGCTGCTGACAGTGCTGTGGGGTTTGTTTTGTTTTTATAAAAAGGTAGTTGTTTAGGCTGGGCCAGTGTGGCCCAGTGGTTGAGCGTCGATCTATGAACCAGGGGGTCACGGTTCGATTCCCTGTCAGGGCACATGCCCGGCTGCGGGCTCGATCCCCAGTGAGGGGCCTGCAGGAGGCAGCTGATCAATGATTCTCATCATTGATACTTCTATCTTCTTCTCTGAAATCAAAAAAAAATTTTTTAAAAAATATATCTCTTTAGGAAATTTACTGTTTTCTTAGGTTTTGAAGTCGAATTTCACCTCATTGGCCTCAAACTGTTTTACAAGATAGAGACCATTAGGAGGCAAAACAATCATGTCCTAAGTTCACTCTAGTAGAGATGGCCTATGCAATAGGACCTCCCAGGAGTCACCCTATTAACCTGCACTCATGTGTACCAGGAAGGGCCTTGTTATGAGCAGCAGAAGACGTCAGCCACCCAGTAAATTCCAAGGCTTTTAGGAGCGCTGTGCCAGGACCCAAACCAGGAGCAAAAACCGTGTGGGGGCGGGAGAGGGGGGCGTGGAGCGGGACAGGGGCATGAGGTACTGCTCTGCGCGTGCGCCCGACGGTGACTTCCCTGTACGCCCACCGTACGTGCGCGCCCGCGCTCCCCGTCTGTGCGTCATACGTGCGCGCCGGCGTCCCCTGCGCCGCGAATTTCGCGCTGGGAGTCGGCACCTGGCGGAGCGGAAGTCTGGGAGGGGCGTGTTGCTGGGCGACGGGCACGCCCCCTGGCGGCGGCGGCGGAGCGGCGTGGCGCTGGGGGCACGCAGTCAGGCGTTCTCCGCGGGCAGCCGGGGGCGGGGCCTCGCCTCCTAGCGCGGGGTCCTCGGCGGCCTGGGCGGCTCCTGCCCCTTTTACTGGCGACGGCGAGCGCGGCGGCCTCAGTGGGTGCGCGGCGGCGGCGGCGGCGACGGAGGCGGCGGCGGCGGACGGGGAGCGGCAGCCGAGCGAGGCGACGGGCGCGGCCGGAGGCGGGCGAGGCGAGGGCGGCGGCGGTGCGCGGGGCCGGCGGCGGCGGCGGCGGCGAAGGGGCGGAAGATGGCGGACGTGCTCAGCGTCCTGCGACAGTACAACATCCAGAAGAAGGAGATTGTGGTGAAGGGGGACGAAGTCATCTTCGGCGAGTTCTCCTGGCCCAAGAACGTGAAGACCAACTACGTGGTGTGGGGGTACGTGTGCGGGGGGCCGGGCCGAGTCGGGCGCCCCGGCACCTGGTGCCGGCCCCTCCCCCCGGGCCCCTGGGGGTGGGGACCCGGGGGGCTGCGGGTGGGGGGTGTGAAAAGTTTCTCCGGGGCCAAACTTGCACTTTTCGCGGGGGTTGCGGGGGGGAAGGGGGCGCCGTGCACCCCTGTGGGTGCTCGGGCGGCGCGTTCCTGCCCCGCTCCCCGGAGCTCCCTGCACGGAGCGCTGGCGAGGCTCGGGGGTGCTGCGGGGGCGCCTCCGGGACGCCCCCGGTCTGTTCTTGACCTCGGTTCCCTCGCTCCGCGTCGCGAGTGTGACTGCTGCCCTCGCGGCGCCCGGCCCGGCTCCTGCGCTTTCGGGGTTCCCTGGAGAGAGAAGGGGTCGGGACTGGGGTCGGAACCGGGCCCCTTCGGGGGGCCCCGCAGGTGGTGCGGCTGCAGGTGGTGCGGCTGCGGGTGGAGGCAGGGGCTTCCGAAGGGAGGGGCGGGGGGCTCCGGGTTGGGGGGCTGGTGGGGGCGATCCACGTGGGGCGTCCTGGTTGAAGTCGTGCGGAAAGCGCGGAGGCCCCGGCCTGGCCGTCGCCCGGGTCTTTTCGGGGGCGTCTCTCGCTCCCTTGGAGGGTCCACTTGGGGTCCTAGGGGCCCGCGGCCGGAGCTTGCAGGTTCGGGTGGGAGGGAGCCGTGGGCTTTGGGGGGAGTCGCGGAGCAGCGGGGCGGGGGGGTGACGGGCGTGTGAGGCTCTTTTCCGTTTTCGCCTTTGTGGCCCCGGGGCTGTGTGACCTGTGCTGGGAGCGGCTCTCCCCACCCCCCTGCGCGCGTTTTCTCTCTCAGAAAGAGAATGAGTGATGATCACGTTTGCTTGAAGTTTTCTTTCTTTCTTCTTTTAATGGTTAAAGAGCCCTCGGGCTCCACCTGGCAGATAGGGAAGTTCTCAGGGCCCTGGTGCCTGCCCGGAGGAGGGTGCCCTCCTCGGTCACCAAGATCTTGGGGGGCCAGGGGGGGTTTCAGGAGTTCCGTTTGGCTGTAGACACGCTGCGCTGCAGGCCTTTTCCTGAGTAAACGAATGGACACACGAATGCGCCGGAAGGAACGGGTGGGAATGCTGAGGGCGCTGAGGGCGAGAGGATGGGGCGGCTCTTCCAGGACCAGGGAGCTGGACGCCGAAAAGGCTGAGAGCCGAGCGGAGCGGAAATGTTTGACAGCAACTCGGCGGGCGGGGGTGGGGGGGGGGGGGGGGGTGGGGGGGCTGGGGGGGGGCGGGTACCAGGGGGCGCCTCGCACAGCGACTCGCACTCGCACAGCAGGGACTCGCCCAGTTCCTGCCTCGTGCGCGTGTAAACATGCGCGTCTCCATGGCGTCCCCCCCTTGGTGCAGGCGGGCCTTCTGGACTTGGTTTTTCTGTGTCCTGAGCGAGCCTCTGGGGTTACCCACACCTTAGGTTCCAGCGCAGTAAGTGACGGTGATGTGTGGCTAGGAAACTGGGTTTGGGCTGATGGTACTGGTGTGGATGGGAGAGGCGTAGGAGGCGGGTTGGTTGCTGACGTTGGGCGGTAAAGAGCTTGCGCCCCCAGCTCTGGAAGGAGAGGGCGATGTTTCATCACAGGTAGAATTCCTTGGGCTTTTACATCATTGCTTTCCTGTGAGGGCGGTCCCAAGAGCGGCACCTCGAAGCTCATTGTGGTGCTTGCTGTAATGTAAGCATGTCGCTTAGGAGACGTGGAGCCAGTCTCTTGTATTTGGCACCTGGTGACAGTGCTGGGAGTCAGTGTCACTCATTCTCGGGGGTCCTCAGTGCCTTACTGACAAGCTTCTCCATTGGCAAAGCCCAGAACCGAACCTGGGCCACATCCTTAATGCAGGCACCTTAGGGTGCACCTGTGTGCTTCCCTCCGTCTGGCTTTTTGTCATTGCCTGCCTTTGGTTCCTTTGGCCCAAATGACAGGGCCACTTACGAGGTGCTTCATGCTGTCTTCCTTGGCCGTGTGAAATCCATTGTGGGAGAGCTAACGGTCTCGGCGGGTGCACGCAGAGCGAAGCGCACAGGACCGAGTGGGAGTTGAGTAAACTCTTGCTGTCGCTGTTTCAGGACGGGAAAGGAAGGCCAGCCCCGGGAGTACTACACCTTGGATTCCATCTTGTTCCTCCTCAATAATGTGCACCTTTCTCATCCTGTGTATGTCCGACGCGCAGCCGTGAGTAGAATTCATTTTAAAACGTTTTTATTTAATTGGTGGCTATCACGGCATGGGTTTCAGATCCAAAGGACGAAAGGCTCCTAGCGTGTCCTCATGACAACGTGGTGATTGATGTCGATTTTTTTACATGTAAAGTGGGGGTGGTGGTTACGACAACAGAAGTTTTGAGGTTATTTGTAGGGATGTTTTAAAAAACTTAACTTGTCTGTAGAAGAACCCTGGTATTCAGAACTCTAGTTTAATCTTTAGAAAACGTTTTTGACATCAGAAAGAATTAAAAGTAACAGAAAACTTTTAAAATGAATGTTTAATCAAACTTTTCACACTTATTGATAAATTAATTTGTTTTCAGTTTTGCCTGATTTCTGCATTTCAGTGTTTGAACACTGGTTTTCTGAACAAGAAATACATACCTAGTGTCAATTTCTTTTAAAAATATATTTTTATGCCGAAACCGGTTTGCTCAGTGGATAGAGCGTCGGCCTGCGGACTGAAAGGTCCCAGGTTCGATTCCGGTCAAGGGCATGTACCTGGGTTGTGGGCACATCGCCAGTGGGGGCGTGCAGGAGGCAGCTGATCGATGTTTCTCTCTCATCGATGTTTCTAATTCTCTATCTCTCTCCCTCTGTAAAAAATCAATAAAATATATTTAAAAAATAATATATTTTTATTAATTTCAGAGAGGAAGCAAGAGGGAGAGAGAGAGAAACATTACTTGTGAGAGAGAATTAATGATTGGCTGCCTCCTGCACGCCCCCCGCACTGGGGATCGAGCCCACAACCCAGGCATGTGCCCTTGACTGGAATCGAACCCGGGATCCTTCAGTCCGCAGCCGACGCTCTATCCACTGAGCCACACCAGCTAGGGCATGACATGTATCTTTACCAAGTTTCTTATCATAGTTACTGATTTGATTTCTAACTTAAACTTTTGATTTCAGACTGAAAACATTCCTGTGGTTAGAAGACCCGACCGGAAAGATCTGCTTGGCTATCTCAATGGTGAAGCATGTGAGTCCTTTTTACACTGCGGTCGCTCTTAGGCAGACAGATGACCTAAAGCCTGACCTGCCTGCACTGTGTGCATCGGCTCCCTTCCCCTCCCGGGAGAGCGAGTGCGTGGTCCCGGCTCCCAAGGCCAGGCACCCACGGGAACGGGCTCCATCACCTCGCGCACTCTCACAGGCTCTGCCTTTGAAAATCCTTTATACAAAATTCTCCTTTTATTTACTTATTTATTTATCTTTCTTTGTTAATCCTCAGCCAAAGATATTTTTCCATTGATTCTTAGAGAGAGTGGAAGGGAGAAGGAGAGACAGAGAGAGACATCCATGTGAAAGAGACACATCAATTGGTTGCCTCCTGCACATGCTCCTGCCGGGGCCGGGGATTGAGCCTGCAACTGAGGTTCGTGCCCTTGACTGGAATCGAACCGTGACCCTTCCGTCAGCGGCTGACGCTATATCCACGGAGCCAAACCGACCAGGGCTGCCTTTGAAAATTCTTGCTTTCCTCTTGTATCACCAGTTTTCTGCATCGTTCCCTTTAGAATACAGACAGTAAGGGCTCATGAAAATGAAAATGACCCCTACATTCCTACTCTCTGCTACTCCATTGGTCTGACCCTTTTTGCCGCAGAGACCTTTGCCAGCATGGTGCGGTAGCCCTGCTGCTGCTGCTCTACCTCTGCTTCGCTGAGCCCACTCCAGCCTGGCTTTCCTCCCCGCCACCCCGCCAAAGCCCTCCTGTGAGGGCAGCGCTGACCGAGGGACGGCCAAGCCCCTGGTCTCTCTCCCCACAGCGCTCACCTCCGCACACCTGGTACTGCTGCCCGCTCCCGCTCCGAGCCCGTGTTCCTCGGCCTCGGGGCCGCTGTTGTCTTTCTGCTCATCGTCCACCTCTTTGTTTTGCACACTTCCTCCCCACCAGGGTCGGGGCCACTCTCAGCACCTTCCCTCCGAGATTTCTAGGCAGATGTCTGGGAAATTTTATTTTTTATTTTATTTCCGAGAAGAAGGCAGAGGGAGAGGGAGAGAGAAACATCAGTGATGAGATAGCATCATGGATTGGCTGCCTCCTGCATGGCCCCTACTGGGGATCGAGCCCATTCCCGGGCATGTGCCCTTGACTGGAATCGAACCTCGGACCCTTCAGTCCGCAGACTGACGCTCTATCCACTGAGCCAAGCCAGCCAGGGCCGGTATCTGGAATTTAATGTATCCTGAAATGCAGTGCCGATCCCTCCTCCGTCTCCTGGAAACAGAACTAACACAGCACCTTCACTCGCAGGGTCCCCCCCGGGCAGGGGTTGCCTGTTCATGTAGTTGCTCCTCCATTCCATCTTGACAGTCTGACAGCCTCTGGCTGGCCTCCTCCTACCCTGTTCCACGCTTTGTCTCCAGACCTCTGCCTGGCCCTCCCGCGGGTCCCCACACTTTGTTTGTTTTCTTTCCCCCCGCCCCCCGCCCCGCCTGCTGTTAGTGACCTGTTTCTGTCACTCCCCTGTTCAAGGCCATCCTGTGGTTTCCCTTCACACCTACCCTGCCCGACACCATCTTGCTTCCGCCTAAGTCTAACCTCATCTTGGCCCAGTGCTGCCGGCTCTGTCAGCTGTTCTAACCCGATAGCCTTTGCACATGCTGCCTCTGCGTTCCGTTCTGTTGCTCAGTTGTGACACTTTCTCCCTTTCTCCCACTCCGTTCCGATCTGTGGTCTGTCGGAGCACTCACCCGATTACACTGAATATAGCCCTGCTTTCCCTCCTCCCCTCGTCTGTGTACGCACCTCCCTGACTTACTTCTCATCCCATCCCTTAGGTTGACCTGAAATTATGCCTTTATTTGTTCCCTTAGATATTGTCTGTCTCCCCCACGCGAGGGTAAACTCTAGGGGCAGGCAGTTAATACCCAGCATTTAGAACATGCTTAATAGGAAGTGCTCTCCTGGAAAAGTGAGTCCGTTTTCATTTGCATCCTGCAGAGCATGAATAAAGTGATTGGGAAATGTTTGGTCTCACCTTTCCCGCGCTGTGGTTTGCTCTTGAAGTCCTTAGTCGGTGTCTTGTCACCCGTCCTGCTCCACGGCCGTGCCAGTGGGTGGCTCTGCACAGTCCCCCGTGTTGTGGAAAGACCATCATCGGGACCGTGGGCCTCCCGGACTGTCCTCACTGAGCCCGGTGGGCTCTCACCGAGGGCACCGTCGGATGAACAGGCTCGTTCGGGGCAGTGCTTTCGAGCAAATGGTGGTGTTTTCCAGAACAGAATTGCCCTTTCTCCATCCTCGCTTCCTGCCGTTTCTGGGGGAGAGAATTTTGGTCTTCAAGTGCATTGCTAATTTAAAAAAAAAAGGCTAGTTTTGTGGTTTAATGAAAAAGTTGACCTGATCTTAAGACATTCCACGTTCTCAGAGGACGACATAACAGCTGAAAGATACCAGTTCTTGACATATTTGCGTATTTAATGTGATCCCAATAAAAATCCGGAGGGGTGGGTGGAACTAGCAAAGATGATTCTAAAATTCACTTGATAAAATGTCACAAAAGTTTGAAAAAGAGCAATAAGAAAATACCTGCCGTTTCAGAGTTTAGAACTTACAATAAAGCCCTAATAAATTTCAAACGTGAAAGAATAAGCTGATAGAACAACTTCTTTGTTAGATGTTAAGGTGTGTGAGTTTAATTTGATTAAAAAGACATTTCCAATTAGTGGCAAAAGGTGGGAGTATTCAGTTAGTATGTTGGTAAAAAGTAAAAGTTGTGGCATTATACAAAAATGACCAACTGGGAAAAGGTATTTCAACTCAAAGTAAAAGGGCCAATCTCACTAATGCTATGAAGTGGTCTTAGAACATAACACCGGTGGATTATGTGCACACAGTTCACAGAAAAGGAAAATAATGTGAAAAATGCTTCATTTCACTCATAATAATAGAATTGCAAACTTAAACTATACAGAGAAGCATTTTTTTTAATCGATTAAAATACGGAAGCTTGATAATACACTCTGAAGCTGTGAGGAAATACATATTTTCAAACAGTGTTGGTTTTAATGTGAATTGATACAATCCCCACTGAAGAAATTTTGCAGTAATCTTTCCAAAACGACATTGAAATCCTGCATCTGGGGTGTTATTCTGAGCTGTATTTGGAAATGGAGGAAGCAGTGTATTTATAAAGTTTTCATTGTGCCCTTGCTTGTATTGGCAAAAGAGAATTGAACTACCCATTGACAGGGAACTTGAAATTACAGTTAATCCATACAGTAGAACACTGTGCAGCTATAAAAAAAGTTAAACGCTCCACATAAGGCAAGCTCTGAACAATGTGTAGTATGCTATCTTTTGTGTAAAAACAGGGAAAAATAAAAGTATGATTGTGTATTTCTTGTGTCTACAGAAGAAACTCTAGAAATCTGCCCAGGAGATTAGCAGTAGTCACATGAGGGGGTGGGACTAGGTGAAGGGACAGGTACACCCCTGGGTTATCCTGCCTTTATTGTTAACCATTCAAAATCAAATGGCTTAGTTTAGTTTAAAATAACTTGTTTACCAATTATGAGTAAACATTGCATTACAAAGTGAATGTTAACAAATAACGCTTCTCTCATATGTGTATGTATGTGTATTTACTATTGACTGACTGCTGCTACGTGCACATGCTGTGATACTGGAGTGTGTGCTTTGACCAATTGATTTTAGTCAGATTATATCAATCATTTGTAAGTTAAATTGTTAACCATAGATGGTCCTACTAATAGGCTTTCTAATACAAATTTTTAAAAAAAATACGTTTTCATTGATTTCGGAGAGGAGGGGGGAAGGAGAGAGAGAAACATCAATGATGAGAGAGAATCATTGATCGGCTGCCTCCTGCACGCCCCCTACTGGGGATCGAGCCCACAACCCGGGCATGTGCCCTTGACCGGACTTGAACCCGAGACCCTTCAGTCCACTGGCCGCCGCTCTATTCATGAGCCTGGAGTGTTGTCCTGTTCACCAAAAGGTGTCAGGTTTGCTTTCTAGTCATGGTGCACGCCAGAGGCAACTAATCTATGTTCCTCTCTCTCTCGCTCTCGCTCTCTCTCTCTCCCCCTCCCTCCCTCCCTCCCTCTCCTCCTCCTCCCTGTATCCCTCTAAGATCATAAAAATAAAATAAAATGCATTTACAAGGCTGCTTTAAAACTTACTTTTTACTTAGGAAATCATTTTATATAAAGTAATATAACAAAAAATACCCCAAAACTCCTTGAGCTTTTCATTTGTAATAACATCCACTATATATGTTCAGATATTGACCTCACACAAATCTTTTTAAATCTTCAGCAACGTCGGCAAGTATAGACCGAAGTGCCCCTCTAGAAATCGGTCTTCAGCGATCTACTCAAGGTATGTCTTTTGAACGTTTATCTTGAACTTTTAAGAGCCTATTCCCAAACTATACATTTATTGCTTCTTTTTCTTACAGTCAAACGAGCTGCAGATGAAGTTTTAGCAGAAGCAAAGAAACCACGAATTGAGGTAGTAGAGTTTTATTGTAAAGACGATTCGTATTGTTAAAGAAATTGGGATTTAGAATAAAGCTGCGTGGTGGACAAATGACTTTATATTCCTTATTGATGAAAGTGTTGGAATAGATCAGGGGTTGGCAAACTTATGAAGAGTCAGACAGGAAATATTTTAGCCTTTTTGGGTCATTTAGTCTCTTTTCAGCCACTCCCATATGTTCTAATACAATTTTACAAAACAGATGGGGGGCCACATTGGGCCTTCGGGTTGGGGTTTGCCTAACCTGGGTAAGATGCTGTGGCAATTGGCTTCACTCTCAGGAGCTGTGACTATAAAGCGCTTATTACAGTTATTTCTTGAAGTATCGACACTTCAGGTTGGCATGTTACAGCCACTAAGTGGACGGTTGATATTGGTGAATAAGGTAGTTCTTCGCCTGCAACAGAAGTCACCTAAGAAAGGTGGTTACCTTCGGGAAGAGCAGTTGTTGACTAGCTAGTGTACTGCCTGCGACTGGGAATTTTATGATACTATTTATTTAAAGTTGTCACAAGCTCCAGATCAGTCACGTGTAAATCCCACTGAAAATGGAGGATTGTACAGCAGGGCTACACTGAAGATCTGAAAAATGACTAAGCTGGTTGTATATCAATGAAAAATACAGGAATGATACCGTAGCCATCACTAGTGTTAGCATCATCAGGAACCCGATATTTTATTTCCCACTTGCCAACTGGTTGTACCTTTTGCCAGCTATAAATAGCAGAACGTCTGTAGTTAAGGATAAGAAAGGTGGCTGTTAAAGGAATAGGGTTGGGTGGTAAGTAAAAACAAAATTATGGGCAATATTTGATGGTAAAACAATGTAATTTTAATTAGCGTACTCTGAGACATGGCTCTGTATTTTAGGACCCATAACAGTGGTCATTAGCTCCTTGTTATGACTCTGTGGGTACAGATTCATACCTGTACCTCTTCACTGGTTACAGATTTTGTGGCACGAAAACTGAAATTTCCCCAAATTTCTCTGTATGAAAGGAGGCAGTGACACTCTATGCAAAATGAGTGAATTTAAGGATGCTATTTATTTAGAAAAACCTTAAAACCACAGTATAAATATCAAAAGAATTGAACAAGTCAGAAATGCTAATTTTCTAGGATTCTGGTAATTTGAAAAATCAGCAGGAAATAGCATAACAAAATTTCTTCCAGAGCATTTATAGAGTTAATATCTACACAGCTACACTGCATATGCAGTTTTCACTGTAGCGGCTATAGATTGAGAGCCTGCAAGGCCCTATTCTGGGAGAGAAAAACCTTGAGGTGGGTTCTGGTCTGAGTAAAATTGGGCTGCGGTTGTTTTTAAAATCTGCAAGGAGGCTCCTATGGAACTTGAGTGGTAGTATGTTTATGCCTTTGTTACAAATGGCAAACATTTATTGCGTTTCCTAAAAACTATCCTTGCAGTCATGCCAGCAGCATGTCTGTGTTACGAGTTTCACATGAAAGATTAATATTAGAGCTGAATTGGAGCATGGCATCGTTTTAGACCTCAAATGCATTGATGGTTTTTATGCAGTTTCCTATCCCATTGGTCATAGACACTGACTGTGGTCCTCAGGTTTCCATGTGTTGATCGAGGAGATTAAATTAGGTCGGAGTTACTCAGTTTTGTTTTTTAACACATTGCATACCGCATAGAAACCTCTAAGACATACGCCAGGGACCTCAGTTTTTGGGCAAACTGCATGTTACTTAAATCATCATAACTACAGATCATAATGCACTTTAGGTGTTGTTTTTCAGTAATTATAACATTTTTATTTACAAAAACAATTAAACAATTAAAGTGCCTAGTACTTTTTTAACGTATGGTACTGTGTAAAACATTTTCTAAAAGCGCCAGGAACTTGAAGACGAAGACTATTCGAATGACCAAAATGCAATGTAACTGCAATGCTTTATGGGTTCGTGCAGTTACATAGTTTTTCGTAGATTGACCTGCACGGTTTCCACCAATGAGATCGCTTCATTCGATGTGGACAAGACAGTGTGTTGACATCTAAGGTCCATAACAGATGGCGCGCGAAACACGAGAAAACTCGTGAGCGGTCCGAAAGGTGTTTAAGTAACCAAACATTTTCAGACGAAATTTTATCTGAAAATCTAATATGCAGATTAGGTAAAAGGTTGAATTCAGACAAGAAGTGGCCCAAGGGCACCTTGTAGGCAACTCCTAATGTTCAGAGGAACAGGCTAGAAAGCCATTAAAGGTTCACTTCTAGTGTTTTGATCTGTCCTGGTGGAGTCAGGACCTGTGGCAAAGGATGCAAACAATCTAGATCCAAAATGAGATTTTGACTGTGGTGAAAGTTTTTATGAATGTAGTTATAAACTTTCCCAAAGGATAGGAATTTACCTGTGTATGCTATCTTTCTGAATAAAGGTAGCTATGCTATCTCATGCGAAGACCTCTTAGTCATAGAAAAAGGTAACTGAAGGTTTTTGGTAAGTGTTTAGTCAGTTCTGCTCTTATGTGATCCAACATATATTTATTATTATTGTCTTTATGTAAGTGAAAATAATCTTGAAGTTGACAGAGGACTAGGGATGCCTGGAACTTTGTAGGCAGAAGTATCTGTGAGGGAAAGTTACGTGTAGTGTTTTTCGTTCTAAACATTAAAGCTTTAAAATACTCACTGAGCTGCGGCTTTCCAGGATGAAGAGTGTGTGCGCCTTGACAAGGAGAGGCTGGCTGCCCGCTTGGAGGGCCACAAAGAAGGGATTGTGCAGACGGAGCAGATCAGGTAAGAATTCCTTTGGCAGAAAGAAGGCAGTGTGGGTGTGTGAGTGGGTGGGAAAGTCAGTTTAATGCACATTTCATTATAATTTGGCTGAAGGTATGCTGGTATGCCTTAGGTTTTTAGGGAAAGTTGCACAGTATTATGGAAAATGAGTCAAGTACTAGAAGCATCTTCAGCATCTGCTGTAAAGCCCCTGCATCCTAATAGAAATAAACCAGTTACTGTATCAACTGTTAAGGTACCCAAACACTTTTTAACTTTCTCTCATTTTACATTGTGAAAACGACACCAAGGTTAAGATGGTTATCTTAATGAAATCTGCACTCAATGTTGTCTTTTTTTTATGGTTCTGAAAGTCTCTACTGTTTTGCCTATTATTTGAAAATCAAGTAAAGAAAAGGAAGCATCAAAATATGATTTCATCGTCCAGACATGAAAAGAAATGTATGTTTATGTGGTACATAAAAGCCCCGTTACAATATATTATACATGATGACATACAGGTTTGAAACCTTTGAAGTAAATTTCAGGGAAAACCTAAGTTTTGAATTTTTTACAGAATGAATTTTTCACCCCCAGTCTCTTCCAAGTGTGTGTGTGTGTGTGTGTGTGAGTGTGTGTATACACTTTGCATAGGTAGAGGGATGTAAACAAATGAAAGTATCAGGAAAACAAATTAAAGCACCCATAGTAATGAGTTCTATTTTGGGTGGGGAAGACATGAAAAAATGTGAAGATTTCTGTTGCATTGGTCCTTCTAAGATATTAGTAATATTTCTACAGGGGCTCTGTAAAATCTTAGGTGATCATAAAATATGAAGTATGTCATTTTTATAGATAAGAAGAAAACCTAATTATTGCCACTTAAAGTATTTTTGCCGTGAACTTACAAATGTAACCCAGTGTATTTTGATGTGCTCAAGAGATCCTTGCTGTGAAAATTTTAAAAAATGAATTGCTTTCAGGTCTTTGTCTGAAGCTATGTCGGTGGAAAAAATTGCGGCAATCAAAGCCAAAATTTTGGCTCAGAAAAGATCTACCATCAAGACTGACTTAGATGATGACATAACTGCTCTCAAACAGAGGAGTTTTGTGGACGCTGAGGTAGATGTGACCTGGGATATTGTCAGCAGAGAGAGAGTGTGGAGGACTCGGACCACTATCCTGCAGAGCACGGGGAAGGTGAGAGGTTTGACATGCTTGTGCACCGAGTGCGGATTGAGCCTGTGATTGCTTATAAAAGTGGCTCAGGTTCGCACTTCTCTGGGAGGCTCACGCTTACCTCTGGAGGGTCGGGATCAGGTGGGTTTCTAGGTGGCGTATTAGTCATTGTAGTCTGCCCTGGGGTGGGTTGGTGGCCACCAAAGAAGCTGATGAGAAAGTCTCCTTGATTTGCCCTAATTTGTCAATCCCAGGAGGGGTCCACTTTTCCTGTTGACCAGATTTTTGGGTAAACCCAGTGAACAGGGAATATTGATGTCAAGCTCTCTGGTTGTTTATTAATTTTTGTCTCCACAAAGTAGAGAACTTGGGAAAATCAGTCAGTGAACATTTATTGCATGTATTTTATATATTCTGGTTTGGATATACCAATATTTATTTGTTCCTTATTAATGGAGTCATTTTGTTTTTTAATCGTCACCTGAGGATATTTTTTTCTATTGCTTTTTAGAGAGAGTGGAAGGGAGAGGGAGAGACAGAGAGAAACACTGATGTGAGAGAGAGACAGCGATTGGTTGCCTCCCACATGCTCCCGACCAGGACTGGGAGCCTGCAACCCAGGTACGTGCCCTTGACTGGAATCGAACCTGGGACTCTTCAGTCCTCAGACAGAGCTCTATTCATGGAGCCGAACTGGCAAGGGCATTTTCCTTTGGCTTTTTTTGTGTGTTTGCTTTGTTTTTTTGCTGCTGGATTGTGGGATTTTCTTCCCTCTCTCCTCCCTTCTTTTCCTCTTTCCTGTTCACGATTACAAATAATGCATTAAAAAACACCCTGTACATAAACCTGTGCATTCATGTGCATACAGCACAAGTTTAAACTTCAGAAGCAAATTGCTGGTTGAGGAGATGCGTGCTTTAAACTTTGGAAGACGCTGGGTGTGTCCGTATCTTAAGGGGCTCCATAGTTTCAGCTGTCATTTCCTCCCCCACCGCCCAGTGTTCTCCTAAATGTTCGTTCTCCACTGACGCCCAGTTGTTAATAATCTGAGTGGTAAGAAGGTTTGTAGAAGTGTGAGATTACTGACTTTCATAGGAGTTTCATTTGCAGATGTTGGGTTCTGGCCTCACTTTCCCTCCACCATTGGAGCAGGAATACAGCTGCTAGAAAAGAGAATGGGAAGGAAGGACTTGTGCTCTGACTTGTGCAGAGCACTTGAACTCAGGACTAGGACGCGTTCCCCAGACCTTGGATTATGGAGAAGTAATCCATAATCCAACGGGAGTAAACTTCCACTTGTGTGTGTGCAGTGAATGATCTGTTTAACGCTCCTTCTTACTGCCTAAGGTGGGGCTCATAGTTGAATATTGTGACTTGCATTGTTCTACCAACATTTATTATAACTGCTGGAAAATCTGAATCTTACAGGAATGGAACGAAACATAGGTGATATGCCCCACCTTCCTTTTAGACCAAACATTACGTTTTCAGATAACTGAGATGAACAATTTTTATTGAGCTCTAGGTGGCAGGATTGTACCATCATTTGAAAACTTAGTGTTTTAATTTAGTGTTGGTACCACTGTTACAGTTTGAAAAATAGGTTAATTGAAGAATTGCTTGGTAGCTAGGTTTGCTTCTGTTTTACCATTTTTAAAATAAGAACTATTTTGACTTTTTTTCTCTGTATACTGTTTTTTTTTCCTGCTAAACTCAAAAACTTTCTAGGTCAGCCGTTGGCAAACTACGGCCCGTGGGCCGGACCGGCCCGTTTGAAATGAATAAAACTAAAAAAAAAAAAAAAAAGACTGTACCCTTTTATGTAATGATGTTTACTTTGAATTTATATTAGTTCACACAAACACTCCATCCATGCTTTTGTTCCCGCCCTCTGGTCCAGTTTAAGAACCCATTGTGGCCCTCGAGTCAAAAAGTTTGCCCACCCCTCTTCTAGGTACTCATACCCGTACAAGATCCTAAGATTTTAGACAGATCTTTTTTTCTGGGTTTTTAGAATAAAAGATAGGTCGAAGAGTCCATAGGAAATAGTAAGTATGTACTCTTATGGTCATTTCAGGCCACATAAAGCAACCAGATTTTATAATGCCGTTAAAAACACACTTTTAAACGTGTGTAAATTGGTATGTGTTCATTGCTGAAAAATTGACAAAAAGAGATTATTTCCGCCATACAAAAATAGCTGATAACATTTTGACTGATTTTTCCAGACTCTGTGTGTCTCACACAGTACTATGTAATATTTACGGTAGTGAGAATGGATTTTCATCACGTGATAATAAGTCTGGATTAAGACTTCATTTGCATTTGTCTCTGTGTTGACCTTTGCACTGTCAGTGTGAATGGGGGACCTGGTGCACTGCTGGCCTCTTGGCATGAACAGGCACTGGCGCCGCTCTGCTCGCGGCCGGCCGTGTTTTCTTTTCCACTGATGATGGCTGTGATGAGATATTTATATGGTTTGGTGTGATGTCAGAGAAAATCCAGTCCCTTGAAAAGCTATTGTAATACTCCTTCTCCAGTTGTCCGTGTGAGGCCAGATTTTCTTTCATATACTTAGACCAAAACCAAACAAGATAACCCAACTATTAACTGTAGAAATACAGCTCTCTTCTATTAGGCCAGACATTGAGCCTTGCAAAAATTTTAAACAGTGCCACTCTTTCTTGTCCTTACTTTTTGTGCATTTTGGAAAATAGTTTTTCAAACAAAGGGCTGCTCCAGAAAGCATTGAGGTTTCAGCCAGGGATCCCCTGGAATGAGTGACGTCAAGCCATTTACTGCGAGTAAGGGATGGTTACACAGTCCAAGAATAGGTTTGGACTGAAAAATATAAAGATTACTGGAGCTTAAAAAAATAATTAAAATTAGGAAAGTAAAAAATTAGAATTAATTAAAGCTATATTTAAGAAAAAATGGGGGAGGGGCATATGTAATGCTTTCAACAATAAAGTGTTTTTTTTTAAAGTCCTGGAGAAGCTGTGCCTGCCAGTGAGGAAGACGCTGCACGTTTCTGGCGGAGGTGAAGAGATGATTAGGGTTTTTACACCTGCGGTTTCAGGCATCCACTGGAGTTTGGAACATGTCCCCTGAGGATGAAGGGATTGTTGTAGTAGTTGATTCAGAATTAATCCTCTCTTGACAACACATCTGTCTTGTTTTATTTTAGAACTTTTCCAAGAATATTTTTGCAATTCTTCAGTCTGTGAAAGCCAGAGAAGAAGGGCGTGCACCTGAGCAGCGACCGGCCCCCAATGCAGCACCTGTGGTAAGAATGGTTTACTGCCTACGCTGTAGTTTTATTGAAAATGACGCTTGGTTTCCAGGATTATGATTTTGAAGACATGTAATCAGAGGTTTTCAGGTAGTAGTTTCTAAACCTTATGCAGCTTCAACATATCTAAAGGATGTGAAAGTCCTTCTCACCATTAGAAGTTACTTGAGCAGTAATTCTTGCCTGGAGACATACCTGTGTTGACTCTCGTAACAAAGTAATCTTATTTCTTCCTGGTTGGGCTTTGAAATTGGTTGATAGGTCAATGAATAATAAACAGTCATGTGCCTACCTGGAAGGAGGCCTCCATTAGAATATCACAGGGATCATCTTTATCCTGGTGAAGAGTGTTCCATAATAATATTTTATTAATTACATAAATGCTTAATGTTACAATATAATAAATGTACTTATAGCAATATTTTATTTCCATAACCAGCTATTGAGAGCTATACCAGCTTTTTTGTCACTTAGTCTTCCCAAGAATCCTGTGATGCAAAAATATTATTCCCATTTGATAGGTGAGAAAACTGAGACATAGGTTGAAATTGCCCAAGTCCATAATCCTATATAACAGTGGTTCTCAACCTTCTGGCCCTTTAAATACAGTTCCTCATGTTGTGACCCAACCGTAAGTTATTTTCGTTGCTACTTAACTGTAATGTTGCTACTGTTATGAATTGTAATGTAAATATCTGATATGCAGGATGGTCTTAAGTGATCCCTATGAAAGGGTTGTTTGACCGCCAAAGGGGTCGCGACCCACAGGTTGAGAACCGCTGCTATATAATAAAAGGCTAATATGCCAATCGACTGAACAACAGAATGACCGGTCACTCAATTTGCATATTATTATATAGCCTTTTATTATATAGGATTATTGTTACAGTTGTCATTGTCATTATATTCATTTAAAGATTAACAATTTGGAGAATAATTCAGTTAAGAGGCTCTAAAATGCCAGCTCCATAAACTTTGAATTTAAAGGGTGTGTGGGTTTTTTTTGTTAAAGAAAAAGTTCATAATTGGAGGAAGCTTACTACTTCATAAAGAGATGTAAGGAGTTGGGAGGAAAGTCCTCAGCACACGCCATCTTGTTTCTGCATCTCTAAGAAGCTTTGCTTTCTGCCCTGGTGCACGTTTACTTGGAGTCCTTTGCCCTGACAGGGTGGCGGTTTTCTGGTCGTAAACAGTATCTTGAAAATAAGCATCGATGGTTCATTTTGTCTCCTCCCCACTTTTGTCTTGTTGGCTATGGTAAGAATAAAAGCTTAGAAAACAATATTATTGTGGTTTTTATGATGAGTATTAAGTAACAATAGACTATTAACATGTAAATCATGGTTAATTTTTCTGCAGGACCCCACATTGCGTACCAAACAGCCTATCCCAGCGGCCTACAACAGATATGACCAGGAAAGATTCAAAGGAAAAGAAGGCAAGTGACTTGGTTTTATCTTTCTTTTCCTGGGTTGTGCTCCACGTGAGAGGCAGGTGGCCTGACGCGGGAGCCGCAGTTGGCAGGCCCCGTCTGCAGCGGCCACGCTCCCCCGTTATGTGCTTCTCATGGCTCCCTGGGTGCTGTGGCAGTGGCATTGAGTTGTGACAGGGTTTGCGTGGTCTGCAAAGCCTAGAGACACCATCTGGTTTTTACAGACTGTGTTTGCTTCCCCCTGCTTCAGTGCATGGATTCTGGACCCAGATTGCTTCTGTCACAGTCACTTTGTGTGTGAATTTTGAGAAGTGACTTTAACTGCGTTGTGTCTCGGTTTCCCCCGTTGTGACATTGCAGTACTAATAGCAGTGGCAGTGCAGTGCCTGCCTCTCAGGGTTAGGGTGAGAGAGAGAGAGAGAGAGAGAGAGAGAGAGAGAGAGAGAGAGAGAGAAAGAGGATTGAACTAGGTAATATAAAGTCCATGGAGTCCATGACTGGTATGTAATTAACCATGCTGTATATATTATATTGGCTATTAGGGCTAGTGCTGCTTCTCAGAAGTAGATTTTAGAGGGAGGTTCTCCATCTGTCATGTTCCCCGGATTATGAATGTGTGCAATGAGCGCTTGGGAGGCGGGGATTGGTCAGTGTCTGCGGTTGTGTTTTGTGGAAGCCCACGGGGGGTACTGACTAACTCGGTAGGGTCAGTGTCACGCTAGTGAGGTGGGTAGTAAGTGGGACTAATGTCGGTGTAACTTCTCGTTTATCTTGACTTGATACATGAAAAAACGAGGTAGTAGCACTTGGAAGTTTAACATTTGTCATTTTTTTCTGCATAATCTGAAATCTAAGTTTCATTAAAGGATGTGTTACCTTGATGCAGTGAATTTTGTGTGTTGACTTCCTTTACTGGACAAAGGCATGTACTAAATACAGGGTGTAGACTGGTCCGTTCTTGTATTCACTGCGATGCTTTTCTTATGGAATGAATAATGTGCACTCTAGGGGTTGGCAGATTACCGCCCACAGACCAACTCTGACCCTCGTTTATCTCGCTTCTGCCACCACACTGCAGAAGTCACTGGTGTGACAGCGACTGTTTGGCTTGCAGTGTGTAACATGTGTAGTACGTGGTGCTTTACAGAAAGGCATATTGAGACCCTGCCCTGGAACCCTTATCTGTTTACAGCATTGCTTTTCCACAGTGTACATACCTAGTCATTGTCATCTTTGAACATGCCTTTTTCTATATGTTAAGGACTTCTTATGATAGTAGGTGCTTTTAGTGGTGCTGTAATTGAGTGTTAGATGTAAATAACTTGGGGGTTAAATTATGAAGTATTTTATTCAATCTAATTTTTAAAAAATATATTTTTATTGATTTGAGAGAGAGAAAGAGAGAGAAAGAGAGAAACATCAATGATGAGAGAGAATCAATGATTCGCTGCCTCCTGTACACCCCCTACTGAGGATTGAGCTGGCAACCTGGGCGTGTGCCCTGACTAGGAATCAAACCATGACCTCCTGGTTCATAGGTTGATGCTCAACCACTGAGCCATGCCAGCGGGCTCAATCTCAATTTTTGATACTTTCAACCAATATGAGTTTTGAACACAGTTGTAGACACAGTGTTAACCAGCTTCTGCACACAGGGTGTGTATTGAATATATTTTTGAGACTAATACCCTTATAAATTTTTATCTTCAGAAGTGTGTGATTTAACTTTATGTGTACGGTAGATTAAAGGTTTTATTATACTGTTGACCTGTTAAGATATATTATGGATTATTACTTTAGATTTGTGATTGATCATGAAATACATGACGTCTAATAGAAAACCCTCTTTCTTTATAGAAACGGAAGGCTTCAAAATTGACACGATGGGCACCTACCACGGGATGACGCTGAAGTCCGTGACGGTAAGTTCTCTGAGCACAGAGCTTTCCTTGCTCCCCCCGCTCTCCATGAGCAGCCGGCGCTGAGGAAACCTTTACTCTGTGTATTTCCTGTTTCACACATTTGTCTGTCATGACCAGTTGTGTGCTAGATGTGTATGCAGGGGATTTGATTCACAGGTGTCCTTGTTACCTTTTTTAACTGAGTTGAGCATGTGTGAGCCTGTTGTGATTCACTGCAAGTAGGTGGGGTGCTACCTGGTGAGAGGATTTAAAGACAACAAAGGGGTCGCAAGGTCAACTGGGAGTTTCTTGCTATGGTGTCTTATGCTCTTTCAAGTGAAATCCCTTACACTCAAAAGACATCAAAATTCATTATTATTGACGTTTCCTTGGCAACAGAACTTGCCTACTGGCCACTCCCCAGTCCCATTATTGTGGGACTGACTTTGTTTTCCTTTGGTCGCTGTCAGAGTGAGTCTTTTATGGTTATTGTCCTTTTTACTTTGGTCTCATCTGAAATGCCCTTAAATGGGCTTCATTACTGAGCTTCTGTGCAAATGGGGAAGTCAGTGAGTTACAACTTTGAATAGTTGGGTTGCTAATTAATTTTGACTTAGGCCATGAAATGCATTTCCTGGTAAAGGCTCCAGAGGTCAAAGGCGTGAGTGTTGTAGGTTGTTAGGGTCTTTTTTGAGTTGGGAGCCTTTCCCCAAAGTGTGTTACTTGGGTTCTATAATGTTTAAGAAATACTGGATTAAACAGATTTTGTGGTACAGGAATCTCATCGTTTTTAATAGTTGAATCAGGAGTGCGCACTGTGTCCAAGCTGATCTGTCTGTGTTTGCCTTTCCGCCCTCCTGTGAGAGCACTGGTAGACTTAGTGTGGCACTCGATCCGTTCATGTGACCATCGTAGGGGTTGTGGGTTGAGAGTAGAAACTGTTCAGTACAGGAAAACTTGAATACATTGTCATGGATTCCTTCTGTGAAAGGGGCCACATTAGACTAAGAAAATGCCACTGGGTTATGTTTTTCGATATATAGTGAGTAAGAGGAGGTGATGAAGAGCTTTCTTTGTTAGTTGGGTAGCAGCAAGGAACTTAGCAGGACTAGAGAGAGAGAGAGAGAGCGAGAGAGAGATAAGCTCAGAGTTTCAGGGGTCAAATGCAGCGAATGTTCTGCTATTGCACCACATCGGGCTGAGTCTGCAAGTTCCCCTTGTTTATCACCGACTAGCAGCACTGGCCAGGCCAGTCCTTCATTCTTCTTAACCAGGAAATCTTCAGGCTGCTGATCTCGTTATTATCCAGTGAGTAGAGATTTCCTTCCGAAAACCTCTGACCCTTCAGCACAGTGCTGACGTGATCAGGCAAAACCTGTCCTTGAAGGTCCTCTTAGCACTGTCTCCTGGAAGCCGTATGTGACTGTCCAGGCATCTCCCGTCTGTTCGCCGCGATGCAGAGGCTCTGGTTTCTCTGACATCTCTTCATCCTTATTTTCTTCTCTATCTGACCAAGCGGCAGGGATGTGGAGGATGGGAGACAGTCATGAGACCATTCCCGCCGGGCTCACTAGCAGCATAAGGTGGCCCTGACTTTGCACGGAGAGTATCACACTTAAGAACTTCTTCGTAGTTTTATTATCTTTATTTTTCTTACTGAGAGTGGCCCACTCCAAGGAAACAAAGAAACCACTTCCTTTCTTGTCTAATTCTTCCTCTGTTTGAAGAAGTAGGGTAACTGTAGAATGTTCTTCAGCTCTCAGCAGTGAGATACTGTGAATTATGATAAAAGGATTCCCTAGCTCTTCATTAAATAATCTCCCATCTTTCAGAAACATTTGCACATTCACCTGTCCCAGTGAGAGGTAATCTTCCAGTTCTGTCCGACAGGGTCACCCAGGTGGGAGGTGGGAAGTGGGTAGGTAGATGCATAAAGGCTATTGCTGAGTTCTGCTAAGTCTGGGGGGGAGGTTGGCACACCTCTCATGGCGCTCCTGAGGTGGTGGCCAGCATCACTGTCAGATCCATAATTCCTCCAGGCCACCACTGTGGTAGACACTCTTGGTACCAGGAGTCACAGTGCAGGTAATTTGACATTCCAAAAGCATAATGCAGTACAGCTCCTTATTATAATTATACTTACCTTTATCAATACAACTTGAATCCCTTCAATTTTAACAAAATTATTATCAGTATTGAGCATGTTTTACCACTTCTAAATTGTAACTCTTTCTCAGTGTCTTGTAGACTAACCATCCACCATGTTTTTAACACAGATATGATTTTATTGTGTGTATATATATATATATATATTTAATATATTTTTATTGATTTCAGAGAGGAAGGGAGAGGGAGAGAGAGATAGAAACATCAACGATGAGAGGGAATCATTGATTGGTTCCCTCATGCATGTCCCACGCTGGGGATCAAGCCCGAAACCTGGGCATGTGCCCTGACCGGGAATCGAACTGTGTGACCTCCTGGTTCATAGGTCGACGCTCAACCTCTGAGCCACGCCTGTAGGGCTTATTTTATACTAGAGGCCCGGTGCACTGTGCCCTCTCACAATCTGGGAATCTTAGGGGGATGTCAGAGAGGTGCTTTCAGCCCGATCCCCACAGGCCAGGCCGGGGGGACCCCACTGGTGCACAAATTCGCGCACTGAGCCTCTAGTATGCATATAAGATCTTTGGTTCATCTCTTTCCGCCCTCCCCTCTCCTCCTTTCCTTCTGAGATTCATCAGTCTGTTCCATGTTTCCATGCCTGTGCGTTGAGCATCTGCCGGTGGTCGTTATGTGTCATAGCTACCAGCCGGTTGACTGGTCGGCTGGTCACTGAGGCATAGATATTACTTAGAGGGAAAAAGGATTCTATTTCCTTTTACTTATTGATAAATTACTTGAATTCATTCATATGAAAACCTAGTATATTTAATAACATACTGTAATTGGGTGCTTAGATATTTCCTTGGGTACTTCTCTGCTGGCTCTTGGCAGAGTTAGTTTGCTGTATCAATTCCTAGGTCTTCATAGATTGGTTTAAATCTTCAACGAATTTCCAATCTTTTATATAAATCCAACATTCAGATTTTATTTTCTTAGCTGTCTTAGTGTTTCTATCTTACTCATTGGATTGTCTAGTTAGTTCATCCCTGCCCCTTACTCCACTGTGCCAAACCTCATTTGATCTTTAATTCTAAGTTTTGGTTTTTTTCCAGGTCTTTTTCTTGATGGATGTTTCTTTTGTGTTGTTCTTCTTGTCTTTGCTGCTTCTCATGTTCCTCTGTGAGTGACTGTTCCCACTTTTATTTTGAAAATATCTGTTTTTAAACTCTTAGTGCTTCTGGTCTGGATAAAACTAAATTCTTATTTAAGATTTTAGAATACTATTTATGTCAAGTTGAAGATATATTTATTTCTAATGTTTAGGAATTAAAACTTTAAAGATTTTTATTTTTATTGAAAACAAAGGTCATAGCAACCATAGACTCAGATAATTGTCTCACTATTGAGGTTGTCATAGTTTATGTTGTCATTAAAAGTCTTTACATTTAGGTTTTTGCAGTGGTATATAAGATCTAATATGTAATTATTTTGATCTTAAATCAATTACACATTTTACATATTATAATTTAACTCAAGTTTATTCAATTTTTTATCTACAAGCTGAATGAATTTTGGACACTATCAATCTAGTTATTTCTAAATTTGGTATTTTTAGATAGAAGCTTCAATTTTCTTACAATGTCTTTTTGTCATGTATGTGTTGTCAGAAACATTATGGAATTGAATTTCATGTATATTTTAATATACTAAACTTGAGAATTAAAATTAATCAGGTCTTTAGCCTTCTATTATGTAGAAGCCTTTTAGTTTTCTTTATTAGAAAATCCCAAAATTCAGCTTCTAATATAATTAGAATATTATCATTTATCTTAAAATGCTGTACAAAATACTTCATAGTGTCCTTGGGAACTGTTGAGTTTTAACATAGATAGAGCTATATTATAATAACCAATCATTCTGATAGTAAATTTGTAGATACATTATAATTTACCCAAAACTGTGGATATATATTATCAGATGTATTTCTCCCTATAAGAGTTGCTTTAATAGAAAAATATTAAAAACTTTATCATTAAATTGATTTGGGGAACATTTTTTTCTTTATCTGGATTAAACATAATAGATATAATTGATCTAATACCTTCTAATAAATTAATAGATATCAATTTTTGGGAGGCATGTGATATACATTTGATTTATTTTTAAACTTTCAGAGTCATTAGTGATTTTAAAAAGTTTGTATACTTTTTTTCTAAAGCTCTAGACACCAGCATAAAGATCATAGGACAGTAGATGTGACATAAACATGCTCTGTGTGGCATACAGGTAGCATTACGTTTATATATTGTATTGGGACCTCCTGTAGCTCCCTGAGGACCAAAGCGTAGTCGTACTGCCTGCTTCTAGGTGCCTGCGAGTCCTCAGCACCCTCTGTACGGAGCAGGTCAAAGCACACGGCCCTGCTGCTGTGAGCACAGGGCAGGAGGCTGTGGCTCTTGCTCACGCGTGAGAGAGGAGCGTTTGAAGGGCTAAATGCCCGTGAGAAGTATAATTGCCAGAGCCACTGAGCTCATCCTCTGTCTAGCCCAGGGGTGGGCACACTTTGTGACTCGAGGGCCACAATGGGTTCTTAAACTGGACCGGAGGCGGAACAAAAGCATGGATGGAGTGTTTGCGTGAACTAATATAAATTCAAAGTACACATCATTACATAAAAGGGTACGGTCTTTTTTTTTTTTTAGTTTTATTCATTTCAAACGGGCCGGATCCGGCCCGCGGGCCGCAGTTTGCCCACGGGTCGCAGTTTGCCCACGGGTGGTTTAGCACATACGTGTTCTCTGTGTAAAAAAGCTACCTGGGAAATCACGTTATAATGATATGGTTGCAAGGTGAGCCTATGTTACATTATATCCTTCAATTGTTTAATTGGAGTAAGATGGCTTGATACTTGGATC